TATGTGAGCCGGCTGGACTTACTGCGAGGCTACTATCAAGTGCCCCTGACGGACCGAGCTCAGGACATATCAGCGTTTACAGTGCATGGAGGCTTGTTCAACTACTTGGTTACCCCATTTGGGTTGTGCAACGCAGCATCCACGTTCCAGCGACTTATGAATGACCTTACTTATAACCTTGAGGGGGTTGAAGCCTACCTCGACGACCTAGTAGTCTTTAGTGATGAGTGGAGTTCACATTTAGTCCGTCTCGAGGCTCTTTTTAAGAAATTAGATGCTTATAATTTTACCATCAATTTAGCCAAATGCAAATTTGGACAAGCAGTGATTAAGTATTTGGGCTTCAATATAGGTCAGGGGACGGTGGCACCTATCAGTGCAAAAGTGAGAGCCATTGCAGACTTTCCTATACCAAGACACAGAAAAGGGGTGCAGAGATTTTTGAGAATGGCTGGGTATTATAGACGATTCTGCCCTAACTTTTCACACATAGCCGCCCCCCTTTTCACGCTAACTAGTTCTAAAATTAAATTTGCTTGGTCTGAGGAATGTAATATGGCTTTTAATAGGTTAAAGCGATTATTGAACTCCTCTCCAGTATTGAAAAGCCCTGATTTTAACTTTCCCTTCCTGTTACATATAGATGCCAGCAGTTATGCTGTTGGATCAGTACTACTGCAGTCCTCCCCCTCCTTTGATATTCTACATCCGATATGTTATTATTCCTCCACCTTAAAGCCACACCAAAAGAATTATGCAACCGTAGAAAAAGAAGCTCTAGCCCTGGTTATCTCGAGCATTTTGAAGTTTACTTGGGAACATCACCTCATCAGATTACAGTATACTCAGATCACAACCCTTTGACATTCATTAATACCATGAAGGCTAAGAATGCCAGAATACAGAGGTGGGCCCTTAGAATTCAACCTTTTTCTATTAAAATCCTACACATAAAGGGCAAACATAATGTAATTGCGGATGCTTTGTCCCGCCCTTAAACCGGTTGCACCAATATGCCCCTGTTCTAACTTACGCCTAATATTTCCCTTTTTGCCTACAGTTATGTGAATGAGTGGTACTGTTTACAGTTTAGTTATGGAGGATGAAGCTTGGAGACCAGTTGCTGTGTCCTTACATTTTACTTGAGAGACAGCATTCGTGTCACCCAAGGCCAAGAGAGAACCCAATTCTGTTGAGGCAGATGTCTGTCGTCTCAACAATATCCTCCTTGAATACCTTCAGAACACATGAAGATTGTCTGGGACGAATTGGCGGTGAAATGTATATCAGTCTTGCTGTATGGGTATTTCAGTTTTTCTACTGAATCTAAAAGATTCAGGATTATTTTTGTCCTATTGTCAGTGCGACATTTGGTCGTGTGGAGGGGATGTTACACCCTTTTGTTCATTTTGTTCATTTTCTTCTTATTATCACAATGGTATACTATTACATGTTATTTTTGCTATTTCACTTAATATTATATTCAGGAGTAATTCCATTAGTAGCTAAAATGGATTTACTCGACTTTATAATATTATCTGGTCGTATTACTTAGCTTTGTATTTAGGTAGGTCATTTAATTAGTGTCAACTGCTGGTGACCTGGCCAAGCACCAGTAGGTGTTTTGAGCTGCTCAACCCCTGCTCCGACCGAGGCAAAGTGGGCTGGTAAAGCCTCACAGAGTTCAGTTCTTACCTTCCTCACCTCTTGTGAGGGAAGCTCCCTGATTCCTGGATTTAAACTTCTGGTCCCACATGAGGTTCCCTAGTGACCCTCCAGTACCTCGGACGGTATCTGACAGAAACGTCTTGGACGAAGTGTGTTGCTGTTTTGGAGACGCTGGTGATTGTCCCTAGCTCTGCTAGGAGTGAATTTAAGCAGTATTGGTTCAAAGAGGACGGTGAAAAAGTCATGGGAGACAGACTCGCCTCAAAATTCTAAGTGTAAAATATTCCTAATCTCACTTAGTATATTATGAAAGTTGAATAAGAGTGAATTATTATTGAAGTGTTACGTCTTCTGTCTCATTTGGATTGAGTTAAGTAAAGTGTTATTATGTGAAGAGGTGTTATGATACTAGAGCCGTTCAGTACTATAATCGAGATAATACTGTGTATTATCTTTTAAGTGAACTTTAAGTGTAAATTTCATGAGTACTCTGTTTTATGGTGCGACCTTTTTAAAGTTAATATAAAACCCTTCTATGGTTTATTAAGAAACTTAATAAAAAACCGGAAAGAAACATTGTGATTGTTTACTACCGAACCCTTGAATGATTTCATCTAGAACAGGATATTCAATCCTGTTTATTTGTTGCAAGAAAGGGCTAAACAGGCTTAAGTAGTGGCCCTGTACACAACAATCCCTTCCCTCCTCTTCCTCTAATGACAGCTCCTCTGCTGCAGTCTGTTGATGCTCCTTTTGAAGGTCTAGAAGTTCTTCTGTGATGAGTTCAGTCCTGTGCTCCTCCACATCATCTTCAGTCACTTCTAGGGCCAGAGTCTTCCCCAGGGACACACTATCTTACACCTGTTCAGGCTTATCTTCAAAGCCTTCAAAGTCCCTGGCTTCCACAGAGTCAGGCCACAATTTCTGGAAGACACATTTCCCCAGGCTTTGTCTATAAGCCTCAAGCAGGTGTGGCTATTGAAATGGTCCTTCCAGAACTCCCTGAGGGTTAAATTTGCTTCTGAAGTGATTGAAAGCACCTTTCAAAAAGTGCTTTGGTGTAGAGTTTCTTGAAGTTAGAAATTACCTGCTGGTCCATGGGCTGGATGAGAGGAGTACACATGAAAACTTGTCCATTGACAACCACGAGAACGTATGAAAACCGGGACTTTTTTTCTCGAACACTTCATTCGAAAGCCAATTCATTCAACAAGTAATGCAATTGACAACTGAGGTTTGACTGTATTCTTTCTTCTTTCTTTCAACACACCGGCTGTATCCCACCGAGGCGGGGTGGCCCAAAAGGAAAAATGAAAGTTTCTCCTTTTGCATTTAGTAATATATACAGGAGAAGAGGTTACTAGCCCCTTGCTCCCGGCATTTTAGTCGCCTCTTACAACACGCATGGCTTACGGAGGAAGAATTCTGTTCCACTTCCCCATGGGGGTAAGAGGAAATAAACAAGAACTAGAAAGAAAATAGAAGAAAACCCAAAGGGGTGTGTATGTATATGCTTGTACATGTATGTGTAGTGTGACCTAAGTGTAAGTAGAAGTAGCAAGACATACCTGAAATCTTGCATGTGTATGAGACAGAAAAAAAAAAAAAAAGACACCAGCAATCCTACCATCGTGTAAAACAGTTACAGGCTTCAGTTTTACATTCACTTGGCAGGACGGTAGTACCTCCCTGGGTGGTTGCTGTCTACCAACCTACTATCATGTATATTCATAATAAAACACATGCAACAATGTATGATCCAGCTGCATAAAATCAATAACTTAAACAAAATTTTCTGTTACATTAATGTTTTGTCGAAAATAAGCAAGGTAAAATCTGCCATCACGGTTGTCGCAATGCTTTTTTGACAGTTTTAAGCTTAATTTGCAAAATAAATATGAGTCCCTATCAAAAACTGTATAAGGACGCCTAAACATGAGGTTCTAGCTGTTGTTGCTCTATAACAGTAGCAAATGAAAAATGCCTGGTTTTCATTATAATATTACAAAACCATAAATCACCTTATTTTAAGGTCTGTTTTCTCCCTTCAAGGGCAAAATGCCTATCCAAAAAACAGTTATCGTAGTTTAGCATCTTCTGTTTCTAATAAAGACTTTTTAAGAAAATTGGTTGTGCTGCTTTTTTGCTGTTGGTCTTCAGAAATTGCCTAAATTCACCTTGACGTTTGTGAGGACATTTTAAGGTACCATTAGCACAGGAGGTAAAAACATTTGGAGTCTGATATTTTAGGATTATATTGATGTCCACTTGAGTAACTGGCTATAATAAATTTTTTTTTTCTAACATGTCAGCCGTTTCAAACCGAGGCAGCTCAACCCAGAAAGAAAGAAAAAACTTTAATCATCATTCAACCCTTTCATCACTCATACATAATCAGTGTCTTTGCATAGGCACTCAGATGCAACAGTTTAGATATCCCTCCAAACTGCCAAGTATCCCAAACCCTTCCTGGATTCAAGTTCAGCTAACTGGTTTCCCAAAATCCCTTCACAAAAGATTACCCTGACTGAAGGCTGAGGGACTGATTACCTCAAACTCCTGTTCTTCACCATTCTCCTTTGTATGGACTGATGAAGCCACTGTGTGGTGAAACGTTTCCTCATTAAAGACACCCAAGTGTTGCACATGTGTCTAATTTATCAATCTGAACATTGTTGATTGTGTGCTGTGGGTTGGTGAAATTTTCACCTGCCTCCACTCTGAGGGCCATAGCATTACCACTATTGCATATTATGAATTAAAAGTTTCCCAAAGTTAGTTTGATATACATGACGACCATCATTTAAAATTTTATCGATATTGGAGATGGTCATATGGGGATGATTTTCCAAACTGGTCCACTTGACATGGAATGACTCATCTTTCATGTCTACTGAAGAGTCTCCTATACTTTTCACTCATTTACTGCTTCAAGAACCTTTGCAGCCTTAGTTTTACCAATGACTAAGTAAAATGCCACCATATCACAACCATTTGAGGGCATACTCTGACAGCGTTTGTGAAGTTGTGTGTTTGGCAACTGTGGTACCTATGTTAACTGATGAATGTCATTGACTTGTAGGATCCATCAGAACTGTTGTGGTCTTCTTTCATAGTAATACAGTAACAACACAGACATCAATATCATCACTGATAACTTTGGTACTCTGATATCTATGAGTTCCAGTGATACCACTTGGTGAGGAAGGATTACTCATTTCCTCAAGTATGGTCTTCAAGTCATGCCTTTTGTTAACTAATGCATAGCGTATCTCGCTAAATCCTTAGCCTGAACTCATATTTAGAATTGATTAATGATTTTTTTTTTTCAGAATAAGGTTTTTATCTACCGAGGTCTGGAATATGAACAGATTGGGGCATTTACGCAGAGAATTCAGACAGAGTTCCCTCAGGCCAAGATGTTGTCTCATAACACTCCTCCTGATGATACAATACGATCATCTGATGCCCAGTACATTCAGGTAAGGTTGTTAGACTTATTTTAACAAGCCAGCCATTTCCCACTGAGGCAGGGTGACCCAAAAAGAAAGAACTCTGAAATATCTGAAAATATTAGCTTCTTGCATACTTCCTCCCTCCAATGTGATATCCAATTTTTCTTCATTAAAATTGTTTGATGCCCTTATCACCTTATTCTTATCTATGTTCACTTTCAACTTTCTACTTTTACACACCCTCCCAAACTCCTCCACCACCCTTTGCAACTTTTCTTTAGAATCCCCCAAAAGCACAGTATCATCAGCAACAGTAACTGTGTCAACTCCCATTTTGTATTTGATTCCCCATAATTTAATCCCTCCCCTCTCCCGAACACCCTAGCATTTACTTCTTTTACAACCTCATCTATAAATATGTTAAACAACCATGGTGACATTACACATCTCCGTCAAAGACCTATTTTTACTGGGAAGTAATCTCCCTCTCTCCTACACACCCTAACCTGAGCCTCACTATCCTCATAAAAAAAACTACAGCATTTAGTAATATACTACGTATTCCATACACTTGCAACATCTGCCACATTGCTCCTCTGTCCGCTCTATTATATGTCTTTTCTAAATCCATAAATGCAATGAAAACTTAACTATTTTCATCTGAATACCATTCACATATATGCTTCAATGTAAACACTTGATATACACATCCCTTACCCATTCTAAAGCCTCCTTGCTCATCCGCAATGCTGCTCTTTGTCTTACCTCTTATTCTTTTAATAATAACCCTACCGTACACCTTACCTGGTATACTCGGTAAACTTGTTCCTCTATAATTTTTACAATCTCCCCCTTCCCTTTATATTAAGGAACTATACATGCTTTCTGCCAATCCCTATGTACTCTCTTTCATAAATTTAGTAAACAAAAATACCAACCCCTCCAACACTATATCCCCTCCTGCTTTTAACATTTCTGTCATAATCCCATCAGTTCCAGCTGCTTTACCCCCTTTCATTCTACGTAATGCCTCATGCACCTCCCCCACACTCACATCCTGCTCTTCTTCACCCCTAAAAGACTTGTCCTCAGGAAATATAAACAAATTAAAACTTTTTTTTTTTTTTCAACAAGTCGGCCCTCTCCCACCGAGGCAGGGTGACCCAAAAAGAATGAAAATCCCCAAAAAGAAAATACTTTCATCATCATTCAACACTTTCACCTCACTCACACATAATCACTGTTTTTGCAGAGGTGCTCAGAACACAACAGTTTAGAAGCATATACGTATAAAGATACACAACATATCCCTCCAAACTGCTAATATCCCAAAACCCCTCCTTTAGAGTGCAGGCATTGTACTTCCCATTTCCAGGACTCAAGCCCAGCTATATAAAAATAACCGGTTTCCCTGAATCCCTTCACTAAATATTACCCTGCTCACACTCCAACAGATCGTCAGGTCCCAAATACCATTCGTCTCCATTCACTCCTATCGAACACGCTCATGCACGCTGCTGTTTACATAATTTTCATTTGAGAATTTTTAATGGATATTGCATTAATTTTTGGCAAGAAAGATGTAAAAAAATAAAAAAAATGATATGTATTAAAATATATGGCATTTTGTTTATTTTGTTATTGGTTAAGAAAACTGACATGCAGATGAATAAGTTGCATTTGCAACACTTCGATATTTTTATTGTGGAACTGTTCCTCCAGTACAGTCTGGAGAAAAATAGTGAAAGATGTTGAGGAATTTAGGTAACAAGTCCATCAGTGTAGAGATGATATGTTCTTCCTATCAGCCTTCATGAAAGTACAACATATGGACAAGGAAGGGGCTTATATACTGGAATCAGGTAAGGTGAAGAATTTAGAGGTACCATCTCTGGTGGGCAGAGTCCTCTAGTGGAAGTAGGTCAAGTAATAGGTTAGGCAGATGTAGAAGAATTTTCTGTACCAAAATTCCATGATATTGCTGTGTCAGACAGGTATTATAATAGTAATGGTTTAGAAACCAATATACAGATTAAAAGAGGTGTACAACACTGGTATCTTTATTGTGGAAACATTGCCACAATAAAGATGTCCAAGTGTTGCACAAGATACCTTGGTCATCATGGTGTTTTAATGTGCATGTTTGTTAATATGCAGACTGTACCTTTTTTTTTTTTTTTTTCCAACATGGCAGCCATCTCCCACCAAGGCAGGGTGACCCAAAAAAGAACATTTTCACCATCATTCACCTAATCACTGTCTTTGCAGAGGCACTCAGATATGACAGTTTAGATGTCACTCCTAACAGCCAATATCCCAGACCTCTCCTTTAAAGTGCAGGCATTGTTCTTCCCACCTCCAGGACTCAAGTCTGACTAACCAGTTTCCCCTGAATCCTTTCACGAAATATTACCCTGGTTACATTCCAACAACTGATGAAGTCCCAAAAACCATTCATCTCCATTCACTCGTATCTAACATGTTCACACATGCCTGCTGTATGTCCAAGCCCCTTGCAGACAAAACCTCTTTCACCCCCTACATAATTACATTAACAGTCCACCTGTCTATCTGTTGACATGTTTGTTTCTAGTTAATGTCTTATCAGCCAGAAGTGTGATTTTGTTCATACAAAATATAAATATATATCTCAACTGGATGAAGTATCACATAGCTGATTCAGATCCCTGCATCAAAACTCAGTCACATCCTTATGTTAAATTTAAAATCTCTTTATAAATAGTCAATCTGACTTCTTGCTTTAGTAACCCTAGCTTCTTAATATACTTTTAACCCATTGTTGTTTTAGGGCCCCATTTGGGGCCCACATGTGGAATGTCCAAGGCCCAATCTGGGTACTTGAAATTGTTAATATTCCATCTAGCCAATAGGAAAACTCATTACCAAAATCATGTAACAAACCAGAGAGCTCTGTTTTCCTTCCAAGGGCAGTATGGAGTTGAGATGGGAAGCATTGTAGTTCTAGACTTGGGAGGGGGTGGTTCTCTATCACTTGTTAGTAGAAATAATGACTGTTCTTGCTTTAAAAAAATCGTGAAAAGCTGTAAAAGTCTGAGTAAGTCACAAGAGTAAAAATGTGTTAGTAAAGACAGTCTTTGAATATATTGGTAGTTTATTTTTTGACCTTGGTCTATTTGCAGATTTGTGCTGTGAAAACTTTAACTGAGCCCAATCCAATGTTTGATGGAGTGGAAGTTGATGAAAGAATTTTAAAATACTATTCCAACAACCATGTCCGACGCTTTGTTTATGACAGACCAACATACCGTGGCCCTGCTGATAAAGATAATGAGTTTAAGGTAAGGAGCTGTTTGCCTTTGAATGATTCTTATATGAAATTAAAAATTTTGTATATTCATGTCTTAATACAGTAGAGATGTAGTGCTGCATTTATGATAAACTTGTGTAGCCAATATTATGAATGAAGAATCAATTGATATGGATGGCTGTGGTAAAAGAGCAAGTCTTTATATACAGACTATATCTGTAAATGAAAGATTGCTCTGCACATATTATCTTTTAACCATACATGTATGCAAGTCTTACCATCCCACGCTATGGATGGAAGAAATCAAAGCATTCTCATAAATTAGAAATAAGATATGAATAACATTTTGCTCGTTTTCCTGGGTCATTCTCACTGTCTGGGACGGGTGAAAATATTCTGACTTCCACATGAATAAATTAGTGCACAGATTTAAACTTTTTTTTTTCTCAACAAATCGGCCGTCTCCCACCGAGGCAGGGTGACCCAAAAAGAAAGAAAATCCCCAAAAAGAAAAAACTTTCATCATGCAACACTTTCACCTCACTCACACATAATCACTTTTTGCAGAGGTGCCCAGAATACAACACTTTAGAAGTACAGGAAGGCCCCGCTTTACGGCGTTTCACTTTACGGCGTTCCGCTAATACGGACATTTCAAATTATGACCAAAACTCACTATACGGCTCCCCCCACCTGACTTTCTAATACGGTCACCGTGCCCCACCCTGTTTGTTTACATTCTCCATGAGCTCAGTAAGCACTAAGTCTCTCCATTTTGTCTGGAAACTCCAAAATTTCAAATGTTTTTAAAAGTTATTTCATATTTTTATATATACTCTGATAATTATACTTATGTATACCTGTACCTAAATAAACTTACATACATCGAGTCATTTAAATGTCGTATATTACGTTAATATACACATTTTAAATTAATCCATCCATGATTTTTTTTTCAAAATTATATAATAAACACGATGCATAACATATAAATAAGAAAAAATTTACACCCACAGTAGAATAAATAAAAAAAATGTGAGATGTGAGCAGACGACTTGCACAAGTGGTGATAATAACAATACTGAGTCTCTTTAAATGTCGTATATTACGGTAATATACACATTTCATTAATCCATCCATGATATTTTTTTCAAAATTATATAAAAAAACACGATGCATAACATATAAAATAAGATAAATACACCCCACAGTAGAATAAATAAACAAATGTGAAAAGTGAGCAGACGACTTGCACAAGTGGTGAAAAATAACAATACTGAGTCTCATTAAATGTCGTATATTACGGTAATATACACATTTTCATTAATCCATCCATGATATTTTTTTCAAAATTATATAATAAACACGATGCATAACATATAAAAAGATAAATTACACCCACAGTAGAATAAATAAACAAATGTGAGATGTGAGCAGACGACTTGCACAAGTGGTGATAATAACAATACTGAGTTCATTAAATGTCGTATATTACTGTAAAAATACACATTTTCATTAATCCCAGCCATGATATTTTTTTCAAAATTATATAATAAACACGATACATAATAAAAAGATGATAAATACACCCCACAATAGAATAAATAAACATAAATATAAGTGTGGGAGCCTGGTTTGTTTACATAACTCTGCGCCTGTTACCTCTCATGTACTCATTCTTTCTCTCTCTCATTTATTCGTTTTTTTCATTTACTTACTCCTGACCCTACATTAAGACTACAAATATTTTAAGGAAAGTAATGAGTGAACTGTATATACATTTTATCGCTCTGGGATGCTTAAATATCATGAATAGTATGTGTGGGTGGGGTGGCCTGGTAAGGTAGCCTGGCTTATTACAATAAAATACCACACTTATTTCTTACAATAAATACTACTTGTCTCACCCCAGATTAAGACTATAAATATTTTAAAGGGAAGTAAATGAGTGCACTATGTGTGTATTGTAAATTTTTTATTGTTTTTTGAGCCTGGTTCTATTGCTAACTTAATATTGTTAGTGTAACTTGTTTCATTAGTGTTTGTATGCATTTTTAAGTGGAAAAAAAGGGTGTTCCACTTTACGGCGGTTTCCGCTTTACGGCGGTAGCCTGGAACCTAACCCCCGTATAAGTGGGGCCCCTTTCCCGTATATATGTATAAAAATACAAAAAATATCCCTCCAAACTGCCAATATCTCAAACCCCTCCTTTAGAGTGCAGGCATTGTACTTCCCTTTTTTTTTCCGGGATCAACCCGGGTTATATAAAAAAAACCGGGTTTTTCCCTGAATCCCTTCACAAAAATATTACCCTGCTAAACACTAAAAAGCTCGCCAGGTTCAAAAAACCATTTGTCTCCATTAATTTCCTATCTAACATGCTACGCCGCTTGCGGGAAGCCCAAAAACCCCCGCCCACAACTCCCCCTTTACCCCCTCCCCCAAAACCTTTTCAAGGAGGGACCCCTCCCCCGCCTTTTTCCCCCTACAGATTTATACCTCTCCATGTCATTCTACTTCATCCTTTCTCTCAAAAGGGGCCCAAAAAAAAACCTCAAAAATTTCCTTACCCCTCTGACTAATATTTTTATAACCCCCACCCCTTTTCTAATTTCCACACTTCGAATTTTTTTGCCCCAATTTTTTCCACCACACTTGCCCTTAGTCAGGCCCAATCTCCACTCCCTCCAACCGCTTCCTCGCCCCAGAAATTTACAACCCAAGTTCAAAACCCATATAAGAGGGGTTGGTACTACTAACTTTCATACTTCCTTTTTCCCCTCCATAAAATAACATTTTTTGCCTCCACATATACCCCTACCATCCAACTTACGACCAAGTTTGGGTTCCGCCCAAACCGGGGCGAAAATCAAAATGGACATAAGTGGGAACCCCTTTAAAAATTGCCGACAAAGGGTAGGGCAAAAAAGTCAAACCTTTTCCCATATAAATAAAACTAAAATTTTTACTGCAATGTAATGTACAATAATTTTTTTCATTTTTTTTTCCATAAATTTTCTTTTATTGGGTTTTTTTAAATTTTTTATGTGCTTATATAAAGTATACATGGGGATGAAAATGTATTGTAAATTTTTCATAAAATTTCAGTACATATGTTACTGTTTAAACTTTTTGTATTGTTTACACAGTGAATGGGAAAAATACCACTGGTAGTGTTTATAGCCCCGAATTTTAGTTTCAACCTATACCCTAAGTAAACAAAAAAAATTCCGAACATGGGGTTTCTTTGTTTTTTTCCCCCGGCCCGGGGGGGTAGGGGGTTGGCCCGACTGGCTTACCCGGGGAATTTTGGCTCTCTCTCTTGTATCTCTCTCTCTATTTTCCCCTGTATTTTCTCTCTCTCTTAATTTTCTCTCTTATTTTTTTATTTTTTTTTTTTTTTCCCGGGTTTGACAAGGGGAAAAAGGGTCCCTACTTTATTGACAAGCTATTTACAGGTTAAAGGGTTTCCTAACTTTTTTGGAAGCTAAAGCGTTACCTACATCAGTCATTTGAAAGCTTTTTAAATTTTTAAAGGACTTTCAAGTAGGGAAAAAGGTTTAAGTTGGAGCCCTCGGGGGGCCCGATTTTTTATTTTATCAACTGACTTTATCTTGTTTACATCATTTATGCTGTTCGAAGTGTTCCATACTCGAGTCATCCTGGGTATGTAGATCTCAGATGGGGTGATGTTCTGGGGGAAAGGGGACAGCCAGGGTGAATTTCTGCTTTTTTGCCCGTCCCTTTTGGCATAAAAGCTTGTTTTTACCTTTCCTCGAAGTGGATCCAAGTTGGTTTTTTTTGACAATATTGGCCTTTTTACTAACAGTAAACCCCCCCATCCCTCCTATGTTAGAAGGCTCTGCTGAAAAGACAGATCTTTTCCAGGGTGGGCCAGGCGAGAGGGTAAAACGTCTTTCTCTGTTTTTCTGCTCTGTCAAACAGTTTCAGAGGGGAGGGGGGGGAGGCAAACCAAAGGAAAAATGGGGGCATACTCAAGGGGGGTGAGCGATTGTGCCTCGTACAGGTTCTTGCCCAAACCCCACTGTCAAGCAGGGTGAATAGGGGGAAAAATGCGTAAACTTCCCGGCCGCCTTGTTTGCCAAAATTTTCAACCCTGGTTTTTTCATGGTTTTGTTTGGAGTCAAATTTTAAACCCCCAAAGGGTATCAACTTTTTTTCCAGGTTTCCAAAACCCTTCATTTATCCTTTTACTGCACCGCATTTCCCTTTATGGTGCCTAGGACGATCATCATTTTGGTTTTTTTTCAGGTGCAAAAATTACTTGCCAAACATTTCCCCCAAAAGATATAAACTCTCACCTGGGGAAATTTATGTAAAGGGTTTGAGCAATGGCATTTCTTCTCTTTGGGAAAAGTGGGAGTCAGTGTACAGTTGGGCTGCAATTCATTGGGGATTCCCGGGATGAGATGAAGAAAGGGCTTGAAGGGAGACATTCCAAACAATGGACCCCCCCACGCTTCCTTGTGGAAAAACCCCTTTCCCCCAAAAGGATTTTTCTTTTTGATTCCCCTTTCCCTTGAGAACTTTAAAATTAGAGAAACTACCAAAGAAGGTAACACTGGGAGGGTAGGTTTTGAAACCTGAAATTCTCAGTGCTTGAAGTTTTGCTAAGGGCCCTGGTGCCCACCCGGTCCCAAAGCGCCAGAATGTCCCGTGCTTCCCCTCATGCCTTTGTAAACCTTGGAATTTTTTTTTCCCTTTTAACAAGTAACACCTCTTTTGAAATTTCAGTTAAATTCTCCCAAAAACCCCAAACGTTACCTAATCCACCATTTGAAACCTTTTTTGTTTAAAACATACAAAAACAGAATGTTGGAGCCATGTTCCCAATTCCAATTGGACCAAACTATCCCTTTAAAATCAGATTTACAAGTTTCCAACCCTACCTTTTTCATTAATGAGTATTCCCAAAAAACACAAAATAATTCGCTTCCCGGGGGCATTTAAAACTTAACACGTCCCCAATGACAGTTGATTACACATACTGGCCTTGTACAAATTATACA